ACCAGTTATTTTTACAAAATAGGGGTACAATCAAGTCAGCTTTATCATTAGAATACTACAAGCTCATTTGAAATCTAAAAATCACAAGTTTCCTGACGAAAAATGACTTAATTAGTTACTTAAATAGGTAAAATAATTGTATGTAGCTCCAAATATTTTTGACACGCAAAAAGGAGAAATAGGAAACTTCCCACTTTCATGCYGAGCAGAGCAGCTCAGAAATATAGCAGATGTAAAAGGCTGAATTAACCAACAGCCATAGTGGTAGTTTAATTGACAAAAGGCAGCATTAAACTAAGGATACAAAAGCCTGTGGCTACGAACAAGGTTTGATTTTTGTGAGWTTCTTTCCTTAAATGCCAAACCAAACAACAAAACTTTGCATTTAACTGACCACAACTGGGTACAGATTAGTGCAGGTCATGCAGCCACGTTGGCTGTTTTACAGTTCTGTGCTTTCCAAGTAGCAAAGCCAACCTGAATAAGGCGTTTTGAAGCTGTGGGTGCAAGGAAGGTTACCTGGGAGGATTTGTGCTCCAGCCCAAAGGGAGCAATCCTTCACTGGATTCACAAAGGACTTTTAACATCGGGCACCCCAGAGAACAATGAGGCCTTTGGAAAGAAGAGAAAATGTTACAATCAGGTGAAAGACCCTCCAATCTTGAAGTACTTTTTCTAAGCAGGGAACCTAATCCTCTTGTTTTCAAACACTGGGTCACTCACACATTTTCCCTCACATCTGCAGTTTTTGTCTCTCAAGTGGACTCTGAAAATAAAGCAGCCCCAAACCCAACATCTGAACCCCGTTACAAGCATGCTACTGTAAACCTGGAGGCAGGAAGAATATTAATGTGAATATAAATGTGAATATAGACGATCTGAGCTCTTCACTGACATATATTGCAGGCGTCCTTGCAAATTTTTATTCTGTGAGGATCTTCAGTAATCAGTGCGACTCGGGTTGATAGCAAATGTTCTTTAATTTCCACACMCGGTCCTAGCATGGCAGTGAGCAGGTTAATGCATCTCCCATGAAACATGGATGGTACCTGATGGTTGTGGTGCACATTTGAACCCTGCCATGTTATGGCCCTGRGGAACTTTAATAAAGCAGTTTTTTCAAAGCTACTGTCAAAAGAGTTAGGCTTGGACTTGTGCTGCAGTTTTCTAGGTTTTTGAATAGCAAACCCAGAAACGCTCTAAGAAACATTTCACAAATAAACACTTTGGCAAACTACCTAGTCACATATCACACCCAAATCTAAACATAAGGAAATCTGCAACATGCGGTCATCTAATTCGACACACCCTTTCTCCTGCCCTAAAAACTGTGTCTGCAAAGCACAGCTCGGTCACTACACAACCACACGAAAGGAGCCCCCACCTTATTTGTGAGCAGCAGGTAAGCGGTCAAACATGCGAAAAACTTTCTGTGTACTACGGAAACAACATTCAAACCCTCCCCTCCCCACCCAACAACGACCCATCCTCAGCCTCTCAACCCCAACCCGGCCCATACCGAATCACCCTTCCCTTTTCAAGGGGTCAGGAGGCCAGCGGGGAGCAATTTACCTGTCCCAGCAGCACCAAAGAGTGGCACTATGGCTGTAAAACTGTTCTTCCCTTCCTCCAGCCTGACTCCCGCCTCCCCGAGCATTCCCTGGCGGGCCGGGGATCCCTTATTCTCTCTCTCCAGGCAGATCCCGCTGCCCGAGCGTGGCYGCGCTCGCTGCGCCGCCGGGAGGATGCGGGGGATGAAGGGGATGARRGGGATGAGGGGACCGCGACATCGCGTGCGAAGCGGCGGCGGCAGCGGTGGCGTTCTGAGTCAGAACTCGCTCCTGGGGTCGGATTGCGGGCGGGGAGCGAAAGGGAACGGGCTCTGACTCGATCCCGGCCGTCCTCCCGGCACGCAAAGGCTSCCGCGGTCCCCCCTGCCCCGCAGCCACCCCCTGCATCTGAGAGCCTTTTTTCCCCTACTGACTTCTCGTACCCATGCACACTCAAGAACCTCGATTGTGATTTTGGCGTTTACTTTTGAAATCTGGAAAAGCTTCTTAGCCAAAAGTCCGCGGAAAGGGCAGAGCCATCAGAGCGATGGCTTTGTGTCAGCTTYGTGCCTCAGTTTACCTCCAGCATCTCAGCCTGYTCCGTCCCCTCGCTGTGCCTGCCCGCACGGCCCCAACCAGAGGACAAAAACTGCTGTAGTACATTGAAAATTGCTGGAGCAATTTTCATTTTATCTTCAGTCTCCTGTAAATATATTTGCAGAACAATTTACTATTAGCTGAAAAGCACTCTGCARTTCAATGATAAGTGTAGTTTTGTGTCCCTGATTCTCCTTTTAGTATTTTTTCTGATCAGTTTTCTGTCTACCTATTTTCTGAGGCGGAATGTCTGTGTGTGTGTGTGTGTGGGTGTGAGTACCAGCCATAATTTTCAAACATTTTGCATGACTTTTCCCAGTCCTTGTCTTCTCAAACATCAGGAGCTGCACTTTCTGCCGCTCAAGGCTGTTTCTCAGCAAGGGCAGCAGCCACCGCTCACAGCAGCGCAGAGCCCGAGGCTGTGTGGTCCCTTAATGTTAATTAGTGATTGTTCCAAGTGTTAAAGAGGCGAGGGGAGCTGGGAAATGTAAAAGCCATCAACACTGAGCCACTGATAACAGTGCAAGGTATCCACCACAGTAAATACTTTTCAAGAAAGGGTGATTTTTGCAGAAATCGGGARCAACCGAGGCGTTATTCACCCATCTCAGAAACAGCAGAAGCCTGACATTTCTTAAKATTTCATTTTAATGGACTCAGTTGAACCAGTTACACCACAAGCTTTTCCAAAGCTGTGAAGTGAATGATGATTACTCACAAAGAAAGTTTCTGTGACATGAATCTCACTGAAACGAATGAAGCCTCTCCAAGAATCTTGAAGTACTCAGTGAACTCTGCAACAAAGACACTTGGGAAGTGATTTCTAGGCAYGTTTTAAAAAGAAATTACCGATTAACCTGTTTATTCCAACTGAAAAGTGAGAGTAGATATGAAATATTTTAACACTGAGATATGAAATATATGGCACTGTCATGATGTCCCATGATTTTGCCCCAGGATTCTTTTTGGGATAAAGGCTTTTTTTTCCCCCTACCCAATCGCAGTTCGAATGCTGTCTCAGCTGCTATTTTCTGCCTTAAAGGATGCCAATAACATCAGGGTCAGAAGTGGCAATGGAAGGTCGTCTACTTTRCTCTTCTAGGTTACCCCAYRCTGTAGATTGYACAAGAGATTRACTACGTGGAAGGTTTTCTGCTTACTTTTTTCAAGAGCGAAAACACATAGATAGCTAACTACAYGATCAGGAGATTAAGTACAAAGAAATAGAGAGAGATCTACGGTCTGATTCTATTTTGCCCATATGCTAAAATCAAATACCAAACTCCAAATTAGGATGTGTCTGGTTTGGATTTTCTGGAGGTTACATTGCGAGGAAGCAAACGGATATAATTAAGTGCACATAAAAAAAAAAAAAATCAGAACTTTGTTAAGTTTTAGCACAGAATTCATTCCAGCTACCGCACTGCTCCAGTGTGCAGTGATGCAACACAAAAATGCCACTGGGGTGCATTGATGAATTCACACAACAGGCTTAAAATGTAATGTGAGGACCTCAATACTTTCCAAACTTTTTCCTACTTTTTTTGGCTGAGAATACAAGTAGATTGCAAAGGCTGAAGCACCAGTTCTTAAGAACTCATTCAGGGTCTTTCATATGACTCATGACTTTCAGAAAGAAATAGTGCTAAAATGCCAGAAGTTCTATTCTGAAAAAATTCAGAATGCTGAATTATTCCCTGGGATAAGAGGTGATTTAAGTTGCAAGGCTTCTCCTTMTAAGTGTTTTATTTGAGGGGGRAAAAAAGGAAAAATTGAACAGACATATGCAAAACAAGCAGGAAGGAAATCATCCCTGCAGCAAAAGAGCTAAAGGTCCTGTTTTTTTCATGTGGTAAATGTTCTTATCAGCCAAACATCTGCTTTTCCAAATCTCCTCCTAAATACTGGTGCATTTGCATAATCCATATGCATGTGCATTCATTGTGGCTGGGGAAGCACAGACTGTCCAAGCTAAGAAGCAGCAGTGAAGGAACCTGCAAAACAGCTCTGCTCAAAGTGGTGAAACAACTGGAGATGGAAGAACTCACTGCTCTGCATGGGGACACTGATTTCATTCTGATTGCCCATGGTAACAAGGAGCTGCTGGGACAAAGAAAATGGAAAATGAGGGGGTTTATTCCAGGCAAGTGGTTTTGTGTAAGTTTGTAGTTGATCCCACTGATAATTAAAGAAACAAAGCAAAACAACAAAATAATGGGCTTGCTTTAGCCTCTGCCACAGTCTCCCACTGTGATGTCAGAAAAATTGCCGAGTTGCTTCTGCCTGCTTAATGAGAAGATAGATGGATTTCTTTGCCCAGTGCGGGCATCTGAGCTGATGCAGCTACACAGGACTGATGATCACCTGCCAGGTCTCCATAGACAGTGCTGGGCAAAGGTGTTCCTCTCACAAACTAGTCAAGACAGTGAGAAATTTTCCACTCATTTYTCCTTTGGAAAAGTTCATTCAATAGCCTCTCTGCCTGGCCAGTGAAACACACTTACAAAGTTCTGCTCAGSTTGATGGACAGGTCAATTTGCTGGCACTCGTTTTCCCAAATTATCTGAAACCTTCAGATACTTGATATAGCTGCACCTACTTTGGTTCCTACCCAACCGAGGAAGGAAGGAGCACCATCAGTTGCACAATCAATTGTGGCTACCCTGAACAATGCCTCGGGTAGTGCCTCCTCCACCCAAAAAGTACCTGTGCTGAGTTAGAAGTGCCTGAACACTCAGGGTTTGTTAGCACTGCCTGCAAAAACTTCTTGTGAGCAGCAGCTGCATTCTTAGCAAAACGGGATGCCAAGGTGAGTGAGATTCTGTCATGGTCAATACAAACAAGGAACTGAAGGAAGTGTAACAACCAATATTATTTTTTTATTAGAAGGGCAATGACCAAGCCATTCAGCAGGAATTAATTTTCAAGATTTGGCTACAGAAGAGCTCTACAATCTCTATATTTCCCTCCCCATGCCCAGCCGCATGATTTTTTTTCCGGGGAGGCTTCAGCAGATGCCTTCAGCAGATGCCTTCCATCTTTTGGTCTTTGAAGGTGGGTTCCCTTTAGTGGCATTAAGAGAAGCATCGATTCTGTCTTATTGACTGATCTTGGTCCGTAGGAGGGGCAGGGAGACAGAGGACACTGCACGGTGTTACACACCCACATCAGGAAACACTGGCTTGTCTTCGTTTGGCTAATAGCCTAGGACTTTTGTGTACCACAGGCTCTTTATTTTTTCCATCAGCTGTTCAAACATTACACTGACTCTAACTGCTTCTTTGGCGATTCTCTGTCTGCAGGAGACAACAGAGCATGTGGTAAGATACACAAGTATGTGAGGGTAATCCCCATCTGCTATAATTATCACACTGCCTGTCACTGAGAGTGCAGAGCTCCYCAGCAGTGCTAGAGGGGCTTTCCTCAGAAGGCAGGAATAGGCATGGTGTGCGTGCCACGAGATACATGAAACTGTCTCTAGGGTGATCATGCTTTTCATTTTGTGAGGAAACTCATTCCCCTTCTTTGAGCAAGACATATGCACAGCTAGAGCCARTTCTGTGATTTGCATCAAAGTGATRATGGTGTTTCCTGGCACGCTGAGTGCTCAGCCCCTCACAGACAGCACCACAGCACCGTTCCAGGGGAGATGATGCCCCAGCAGCCAACAGCCTCCTCCCTCCAGCCATGGACAAAGAGCAGTGCCTGCTATCCCTGTGCCCATTGCCATGTACAGTGTGCATCCCTGGCAAGAGCTACGTGCTTTTACATTTTACATCATCTCAGCCCACCTTCCAGCACCTTGCTCCCATGGTACATCAGGCTTTGGTTGTCGATTCCTTCTCCCTTGGGCCTCCCCATATAGATATTTGATTAATCCCATCTTTCTCCCACTCCTCCCTCTCCCTTATCCCACATGGCTGAGTGTTAGTACAGAGAAGCTTTCCATACCTGGCCGCAGTAACTGATGGACTCTGGACAGTATCCAACAAGAACTGACCGACTTTAGGGGACACCTTGTTCACAGTTTCATAGATGTAAGATGCGATTGTCTCAGGGATGGCCAGCAAGTCACGGCGGTCTTTCTCAAAGAGGGACTTTGACTGGACTTCTGAGGAAAACAAGGCAAAACCCTGTGAGGCTCCACATGTCACTTGTGACTCTGGTATCTCTCCCTAGATTTGAAATTCTGAGATTCAGAACCTCTCCCAGAAWTYGCTCTAGCAGCAGCCAGCAGCACTYCTTCACCCAGTCATGRSTATCTAAGTYACAGACYTTCCATGGCARAGTATTTGCAYTGAGTTTGGGCAGTTTTCATGCCAGGTCTCTACCAACTCATTCCACACTGAGTATTCATGGTCTTCATCTGAATTATTTGGCTTCAGTCCTRCTTTATGGTACGTTAGGACCTGCAGAGCTGAGCTTTGTGTCAGGCAAACAGCAGAGCTTTTCAGACTTACCTGGGGGAGTGGTGCTGAGGAGCAGGATCAGAGCTATCACCAGTGCCCTGGATTGCAGCATGGTTTGCTGTACCAGTTCTGCTCTCTACACAGAGAGACCTGTGGGAATCAGCACACAGTRTTGGGGTCGTTTTCAGAGAAATAAAATGTGTTGGTTAAAAGCGATTTTAGAACAAACCTAACCAGTAAATGAAGACGAGAACAGAAAGATCATGGTGCATTTCCTCTGAAGAAGTGAAGAAAAGGCAGTGAATGAAAAAATGAAAGCATCCTTTTATTTGTATAATCACAAATATTCACAATAACAACTTTCAGAGCTCAAAGAAACATGGACAGTTGCAGCTCGTTCTTCTATAGGAGAGCTAAAATCCATTGTTTCAACACATGAGCAAACCACTCAAACTGCCASAGGTCAAAGTAAGTTTCTTCCATGCATAAGCACAACTGAAAAATTCAWAATGTGGGATTTCTTTGCTTGATTTGTTTTGTTAATTGCTCTAAAGAACATCGTGCTGGTGAGTACATCACATAATAATCATCTTAGTTAGCAAGTGATCTGAGTACTTTGCCTTGCTTTAGTTGAGCAAAGTCCCAACTAGCTAACTAGGTTCTCCCTTTTTCTCTCTAGGATTAATGTAGCAGATAGCAGCCCAAGCAGAACAAGTTCCCCAAAAGTGAGTGAGTGCAAAATTTAGCTTTATCCAACTTCCTTAATTTTTGTCTTTTCAAAAAGTCAGAATTGGAGAATTGAAAATTTGCTACTCGATACACTGAAAATGCAACATTACATCTAAACAAGCTTGTTAAACATGCTGCGCTTAAAAAGGTGTTTAGAAATCAAAATTTATTTATGACCCTAATTAAAGAGCTGCATCACTCAGAGCAACATGAAGAAAACACAGAACATAGGAATTGCAGTGGCAAAATAGGCTATAAGTCTATCATATGTGACTGTTTTGCTAAATCCCATACCAGGTGGTTACAAGTCAATGTTCCTTCTTATCCCACAGTGAGGAGATTTCCATCCCTTTTTATTTCCTTCTGTGCACAGATTACCCCCAACAGCTACCACCCAATTCACTAGACATTTGCACAGTTGCTCCTTRATAATTCTTCCTTGATTTTCAGTCCCAGAACCAGTTTCTCTCCACGCACACAAAAGGCATACATTTGCTTCCCAGGAGCATGAAAGCTGCTCTTACCCATTTTAAACCTGTTGTCTCTGTGGTGAAGGCACCTGGGAAAAGGTAATATATCTTCCAACACTGAAACTGTGCAATTCCTACCATGGGCATGACCCTCCTGTGAGTGTCACATGGAGCATCCATCACTCAGCTTCAGACTGGGTGACCCCAGGTCCTCCCCCCCTCCTCCCTTCCAGCACCGTTCCTGGCTGTGGAGCATGGGAAGGGCTCACACTTTGGTTTGCAATAGGAGATGGGGCAAAGCAGAAGACAACCTCCACTCGCTTGTCTGCAGTCTAGATACACCAGTCCACAAAGGCCACCCAGAASAGAGAGCTCAGCTCTTACCTGTGCTGCTTTCTCTCTTTCTCAGGCCGAAGTTGAGGTCAGCGCTCATCTGAGACCCCGGCATTTCTGCACAGCTAATATAGAGGTAGCCAGGGRTCAAAGGTCCTGCTTTGTTTCCCCATTTGCTCTTTTGCAAGCACATACAGATCAGTGGGACAGGCAAGAAGCTGTGGAGGACTCTGTACCTGTTATTGAGATTTGGTAATGGAGGGTCAGTCCGACCTGAGCCCARGAGATGTGGAAGGCAGATTCTGGGTCACTGAGTCCCCCTACCTTTGCAGGCAACCATGTCACAGAGGCCCCTTTCACAAGCTGGCCAAATTCCACATTAATAACAGCTAGAGCTGGGCTGAATTTTGCTCCCACTCTTCCTGTGCTCTAACCCCACTCTGACACTTACCTCCAGCTGTTACAACCATTTCCTCTYCATTTACAGCAAATGCATCAACCAAATGCTGCACGAGGTTTGCACCCTTCTCACACTTCTTTCCCTTTGACCAAGACAGGCTGACTATGTAAGAACACACCTGAGACAGCTGTCAAAACTTATCAGGAGGAACATCAGCTATGGGATCCCCAGCCCAAGAAACACATAGAGCTGTTAAAGTAGGTCCAGAGAGGCACGAAAAATTATCATGGGCCTGCAACACCTCTCCCATGTGGAAAGGCTGAACAACTGGGGATGTTCAGCCTGAAGAGAAGGCTCCAGGGAGATCTTACTGCAGCTTTTCAACACTTGAAGGGTGCTTGTAAGAAACACAAAGACTCTACCAAGGCTTGTATTGACAGGAGAAAAGGAAACGGGTATAAATTGGAATAGGGTAGATTTAGATTGGACAGAAGGAAGAATTCTTTAGTGTGGAGGTAATGAGACACTGGAWCAGGTTGTTCAGAGAAGTTGTGGACACTGGAAGTACTCAAGGCTCAGTTGGATGGGWTTCTGAGAAACCTGGTCTAGTGGAAGGTGTCCCTGCCCAAAGCAGGGGCAGGGTGGATGACATGTTCTTGTAAGGTTCTTTCCAACACAAACCATTGTTCTGATTCTATGGTAACACCTCCCCAGGCTCCTCAGTGCCAGTCAGAAAGGGGCTGCACTGCTGCTGTGAGGAATGTTTTCCCATAGCTCGGGTTCCAGGTGCCCCTTGGGTCTCCAGAAGGTCTCCAGTCACCTGTGTTTGGCACATGCAGCCAGGGGCAAGAGACAGAGAGGCTGCAACACTGAGCTACAAAGGGCATCAGCTGGGGGGAATCCGGGGGACACAAATTAAGCCTATGTGAGACCCAACTGGTTTCCATTCTTATGTCGACCACTTATTTATTAGGGGACTGTCACAGGTGGGAAGTGTGAAAAGCTCAATCASTACCTCCATTTATGAACCAAACAARATTTCTAGATGATTTTTCCTCTCATGGTGCTCCAGGTGCTTTAGAACCAAATAGTAGTGTTCTCATTTTGCAGACATGGCAGCCAAGCTGCAGTGAGCCACATAATTGAAGAGCGCTTCTWATAGTTTCCAGACATTTCTCCACTCTCTAGATATTTATTCAAATGCTCTTTTTTTYCCCATAAAAACAAAGCAAAAAACTCTCCCAAAATAAGAAAAAAAATCCCACATATAAGCAAACCATTCTGCATTTTTGTCCAAAAAGTAACAACAGAAGATTCTTTCTGACATGTGAAAAGGTTAATTTGAGAAGTAAGAACAGATACTTTGCAGTTCCACTTCTGGTGCAAATGCTAAAAAGCAATTTATGGTCTAGGAAGAACACACAAGAGCAGCTGGTTGAAAGTTCTCTTATATTTCAATTATACATTTGACAGTCATTAAAAAGAATCTACACATTTATTATCCTCTTTTACARCTGGAATAACATTCAGAAGACCAGCACAAGGCACATCATAGGCATTGAACTCAGCAGAAACGGGAATGAGCAGTCATTACTTGTGGGGGTTAATTTAAGATAACCTCGAGTGTCTTGTCTTTCTTATGTCAGGCCAACAAATGGAAGGCTCTAAGTGGGTGTTTTAAATTGATGTGCTGCAGGAGGTAGTAACAGAAKGGACTTAGCTGCCCTGGGTGGTAATTCATACTGCTCAAGAGCTTTGCACTGTGGCTGTTCTCACACAAGGCAACTTCCCCTGAAGTCAGCCTAACTTCAGGCAGTGCTATCATGAATACAATCCCAGAGATAGCAACTGGGCATTTCAGCACTTTCTAGTGCCAAACAGGCACATGCCAAGGCCAGATCAATGATTGCACAGAAGCAGCCCTTGTCCCCCATTCCTGGAATGGCATTCCGGAATGGCAGGGCGCTCTGCAAACAAGCAAGAAAGCCAGATATTGCAAGTACTTTCTTAATCAAAGAAAACTGCATGATTTTTATCTCCTTTATGCATTGCTGGGCTGAGGTAGCAAGCAGCTGACTGTAGCACAGGTGACCTTATATGGCCCTACATGGCATGGTCACTTACTCATTACATTATTTTAAATGAGGGTAACTCCACTGCTTTGTCTTTATCTGAGACAGAAGATTTGTTCTTTGGGGGCAAGGTATATTCCTTTAAGGGCATGAACAGAAGAACAAAAGCCTAGAACAGCAACAACTCCCATATGTGAAATATTCAACTTTTTCCATCATGAATGGGTTGACACATRAACATCAGCTCTTTGGAATGGCTAAAAAATTAAGCATGAATAAATGGCAATGTAGAAAGAATGAGGCTAGGATATTTCCTACTGTTATTTCTTTCAGTGTGCTGTACTGGAGCTGCTCAGTTCTCTCTCTTAAAAAGTCAAAGACCCTGTGATCTTTCTGGAAAAGGGTCCATTGTATTGTGCAATGCTGTCACAATGGGTTTCATTTATAGCAAATTAAAAACAGAAATAAGCATCTAAAACAGAGCTTGTTTCCTTCCCACTTTTCTGTCTGCTTGCAGTTGCAAAGCACACATAGATAGATTTCCTTTGTCGTTACTTCCCCCCACCAACTGATGCTTTATGAACAGCAGTGGTCTGCGGACCAGCGAGCCTGGTATCATTTCTGCTTCCCTGCTGGATCATCCTATCTGCTTCTGTCACAATGTRAGAAGTTCAGAATTAACATGGAAATACAATCAATTTTCCCTGAAGAGTTTTGTTTAATGTTTCTATAAACATGAACAAAGTGACTGAAGAGGAAATCAAGTATGATAAAGATAATACTCTTCAGACTTCACACAGCACTAATTGTGTTCACAAATCTACAATTAGTCACCCTAGCTGCTCAGTTATGGGGACTAGAGGAACAAATAAAGATGGAGGGCTCCTTCACAGGATGCAGATAAAAAGGCACCACCTCTGCAGTTARTGTGTTCATACTCCAGCAGTTCCAACAGCTGCTCCTGTGACAGAGTCATCTCAGTTTTCTTGCCGTGCCAGTGGCTTCTTGCTCTTAGGAAAACTTGCTGGATATGTGTTGGCTTGTTCATACTTAAATGTGAAGAAAAGTGAAATCCTTCCATGCAAGTATCTTGGGATCTCACTGTATGCCTCAAACAGCCCCTACTCTTCGATGGAGAAAGGGGCAGCCCTTTCCTGAAATCTGGACATTTGGGCTAYGACAGGAAGTTGTCYTGCATGATGCATAAAAGCACAAGRAGGGAGTCAAATTCCAAGTTCCCCRTTCAGCTTCCAAGGGTAGAATTTGCAGGGCCTTGCGTATCTGCTAAAAGTCAGCACAGGGTAAAGCTAATGTCAAAACTTGTTGCTMAGTTTAGGAGGAAGCAGCCCAATATATTTTCTGTCATTGCAGTTATCATAAATTCCTTTTAACTAACAAAAATGCTAGTCTATCATACAAAAAAGTGGTTAATAAAATTCTCAGCACGTTATAAAATACAAAAAGAAAAAGATCCACAGACAGTGGCTGATAAAAAGATTCAAGAGTGATACTGGCTTTGCAAATTCTGCAAATAGTTAATTCCCTGTATTTGAAATGTGACTCATGGGTCAATTCACACTGGTCAGTGTGGAYCTAATGCAGACAAGCACCACACTTAATACAGCCCTACTTTCTTGAATTCAAGCTTTGGAGTTAGTCTTTTAGCTCTTTTTTAAAAATTATTTTTGTAATAGCCACCAAATGTGGGCAAAGGGACTCTGTCTTCAMAACATAGGCCTCTGGTTCTGAAGCAAAGTCAACCAGAAAAGCCCATTGGTGTTCYKGCTTTATCTCCAYAGGCAGGAAKTAGGAGTAAGCACTTCCATCCAAGAAACWGTAGAAAGATGAGCACTCTGTAGTAGCCCTGCGTTGACCAGCAACTGCATCAGATATCCATCTAGGATCGTTCTTTTGAAGTGTGATGTTTCTCACCATTGTCCAAAGAAAAGAAAAAAAAGGACATGGACAAAGTAAAAGTCTCTCCAAGTCTTCCAAGGAAAAGCACAAGCACATCAGTAATTAGGACATTAAAGAACAGTAGCAAGTGYCCCATGTGGCACTGGCTGGGAAGTAAGCTAGGCAAGACAGTCATTGGTACTGGTCAATCTCCAGTGCCTCTGAGTAACAAAATAATGCACAAGATTCTCCAAAAGCTTCTTGCTTGGAGTCTCTTAAATCCAAGAAGCACCTCTGGCAAGACAGTTTCCTGTGGAAGCAGCCAACATTCAGAAAGCTTCTCTTGCTCCACCACATTTTAAATTAAAGCAGTGGATTAATCACATCAAGGAGAAATAGCAAATTCTTCACAACTGATCTCAAAGCATAGAGAAATTGTGTGTTCTAGTTATAGGGTGAGAACTGAGGAAACCCTACAATCCAGCTCTAGATCAGATTCACCACACGTGCAGGGYTGGTATAAGTGTCAGGATAAAGACCAAGGACAGAAGTAAAACAGGTCACTGTAAGACTTCTTCAGAGCCCTTTATCCCACCCCATGTATATGATACATGGCATGGAGTGGAATGGGAGAATATAAGAGGTGTGGAAAAGAGTATGTGGCTTAGCAAAGATATATTCACCAAAACCATGCTTCCTAGTGTTGAAGGAAATTTTGGTCCATGGTGTAAACAACAGTTATCATACTTTGTTCAGTCCCTGTAGGGAAGGACAAACTTTGATAAATTTAGCCCTTTAAGTTTTACAAATAAATTCAAGTCTGGATGAAAGGCTAGAACAAGTATCTTTTAAGGCACTAAGGTCTCAGCTCAAAGTACAGCATGTTGCTACACTCAGTAAAGACCAGACAAACTGGCAACTTGCAGACATTCTGGAGAGACCTTATTAAGGCAGTGAACGTTCTTCCAACACGGTGATCCTCCTGCTCAGGAAAGGCTTAGTGGGGACAAAAGGAACTGCCCCAACTATGCTGAGCAGCCARGCAGAAGCAACAAACATTACACATTGTGAAGCACAACAAAAGGCCTTAGAGAGATGTTATGCCTCCCCCCACAAGGCTCCCAGGGGGCTGGATCAGATGACCTYCAGAGGCCTCTTCCAATCAAAATTATTCTACTGTMTTGTAACTTTACAACTCTGTGAACATTGGAACCTTTCTCTGGTAACTGGTGTGCAAAGGAACAGCATTCTACAGACTRGGCTCCTTGCAGTGCCAGGGCACTTAGTAAGGAGAACTGGTATGTCTCTTTGAAGTCTGGGAATACACTATTTACTGAAAAAATCTGCTGTTTCCAGTAGAATGTTTTCAACGAACCTCAGCCCGTTAGAACTTAGCCCAACCTAAGTTTCCAAATCACAGCAATAAAAATAGGTTATGTATGGCTTTCATGGCACCAGACATGTATTCTTCAGAGTTGTTAGTTTAAGGGGAAGCTGCTTCATCTRTTTTATGCTGTTTGTCTGTTCAATCAAAAGCAACCATCCTAACCTAAATAGTAGAAAAACTAGAGTAGTCCAGTGGGAATCTCAGTCCTTCCAGTACTGACATTAAATGACTATGCTTTTTCCACTGTAGGAACTTCCTTTGTCCTGCAAGAGAAAAGAAAAGATTCAAGAACAGGGAATAATGAATGAAAATCCTATGTCTTCCTACCTGCTCTGAGCACCATAACAAAAACCATTCTTATACATACACATCCCAGCTGGAACTAGAATTGCACTTCCTTCCACAACAAAGAAGGAAAAATGATAATGTGCAACATACAGCCCCTCAGAATACTGCAACCTGGTAAAATTCTGCATATATGTGATAAGGGACACTTTAACATTTCTTTATTTAAAAGAATCTTCATTTTTTCAGGGGGAATACACTGTCTAGTTTGGAATTAGCAATCGGATATAAAGCTTTTCACACTTAGGTTGCTATCTAAAGTTTAATCCCAGTGCAAACTGACAAGAAGAGCTGTGAACAGTAGCTGCTCACCGCCCATATAATGTGTGTTCAGTTCTGAGTCCCTGCAAGTGAGTCACCCTCTTCCACCTGGCCAGGAGAATGAMACATTTTTCATCCATGCCACCCATGACCTTAAAGCCTATTTCATGTAGCTTTAGGCATCTTATCTGGGTGTTTTCCCATATGAGCCATCTTAAAAACACCATGCACATTTTAAAAGAAATCAGAAGTAAACCAACACCAGAGATGGTTATGAGGGATGCTGCTGCCTAGTCTGGAAGTGCTTTCTCCCCAGTCAGTACTAGAACAGCTATTTTAACACCAACACACACAGAACCCCAAAAGCCTCTGGATGGGGACAGAAACATAACATATCACCCTGTAGGTGMCTTCCTTTATTTTGGAATCACATAATCATGGAATGGTTTGGGTTGGAAGGGACCTTAATGATTACCTGGTTCCARCTCCCCTACYCTGGGCAGGGACACCTTTCACTAGACCAGATTACTCAGGGTGCCATCCAACCTTGCACTGAACATTTCCAGAAATTTGACTTTTTACTTTGCCCCTGGGCATACTACATGCAGGCAACGCATGCCAAAAGGAGGGCACTCAGCAGCTGCTTCATAACCAAGCTGTGCAGAGCACCCGCTGCTCCTTGGCCTCTACAGAAAGCAGCAAACATTCCCTCTCACTCCCTAGACCCCACCTTTTCCCTTAGATGAGAAAGCACAGAGGCGACTGACTCACCGAGCGGGTCCCTGCGCCGCCTTTGTGCTTCTTGTCCTGAGCTGGGATGATTTCCAGGGAGCGGTAACTGGGGGGTTTATCTTCCGGCCATTCCCGGGACCTGCGGTTCCTCCKCCTGCGGTTTGACACCGGCACACGGACCTGCTCTTCCGAGGAGCTCCACGAGGCCCTGCGAGAAGGGGGGGAGTAGCTGTGCCGCCGCTGGCCGGAGTAATCGCTTCTCCCGGCRTGGTGCTCGTATTCTCGCCGCCCACCACGATGGTGACCGGAGCGCTCCTTGGCCTCCTCTGGATAGAAACTGCTGCTGCTCTTGCCCCTCTCCGCCTGGCGCGGGGGTGACACATCCCGTCTGCCGTGCTGGGGCCTGCCATTGTAGCCACCTGTCCTCTGCCTCTGAGGATGATCCTCTCGCTGCCTGTCCCAGGCCTCCTGGCTATAGCTGGAATGAGAATCCCCACTGGAAGGCAMTGGCCACCTCCGGTTTTCCCTTCTGTCCTCTGCTGCAGAGTCCCAGGGTCTGGGGGTGCGGGCAGCTCTTTGTGGCCGTGAGGAGTTGCTGCTCCCGTGGATGGAGGAGATGTGGTCGGCGAGAGGAGGTGGCACAATGTCGGAGCCCAGCGAGGACAGCAAGCTGGGCTGCACTGCCTGYCGCTGGTGGGAGGGTGGCCGCAGCTGGGACGTGTTCAGGTTTTGGATTTCAGACTCCAGATAATCCAAAACACCATTGTTACGAGAAAACTGAGCTTGTGGCTGCATCAGTGGAAGACTGTTCTGCAGAGATACATCTGAGGATAAAAGCACAGGAGAACACAGCAAGTCACGAGGAAACACTGAAGAGAGGGCCCTTCTGCACTCATGATCCTGGCTGAGCTCATTGTCTTCTCCTGCCCCTCCTCACTGCAAGAGCTGCACAAGTCTCAGGCATCACAACCTGCACATTCAGACCAAACAAGGTGTGGTGCAAAGAGTAGTAACTAACAAGCTGCAGCATGATCTAGCATGTTTTAGGCAGTGCACAGGTAAGAAGTCCAGCATACCTGGAAATATAGACCATATTTAGAGCAAGATTTTTTTTCCCTACTGATACCATATTTATTTTTAAATAATCAGAGAAAGATGTTAGTGTTTCCTTTTAAATTTCATTGAACTGCAAAAGAAAATGAAAAACCAAAATYGTTACATATATGCACACATAYRCACRCACRTATRTACARATCTAAGTAGCTAATGGAGAAGAAAATCCTTCCTGATTCATTAGAGTTCTTCATTTTTTGCTGCATGCAGGTTAGATCTATTGCACAGAAGGCAGTGTGCCCTTAATCACTTAAAGACTAGACATTTGATAAGAACTCAAACAARTTTCACCTGACTTGTCATGTCAGTTTTGGCTATAAGGAGTTGACCGTGACCAGCACAGCAGAACAAAGAGACAGTACCCTCCTCTGCCATACAAAGATAAGCTGGGTATATTTACCCTGCAGTCACTGGGGTGTAGCACAGATACACCTTAGTTAGTGTTGACCTGCTTCACCCAGCACTGGGCCCAGCAAGACACTGAAGATAACAATAACAGACTGTTTTTATGTACCCACACAAGTCTGGGGTGCGCTGCAGATGTGGCAGAGCTGTCACGCTAGGATGTACAGTCATGGTAGGAAGGTAGGAACAAGGAACAGGATGGTAGGAACATCTTTCTCTCTTTTGTGGTAGAGAGGCTAAAGTCTCAATGCTGAACTTCCCTAAAGAGTTACCTGTTTCCCATCCTGATTTCCCTCTGAAATGATGCCCATGGTCTCACCTTGTTGCAGTAGAGGGTTCAGCTGGTAAGAGGAAAGTTTTGAGTTCCTGTCACCAGCTCCATAGAACACGTTGGGTGATATCCATGGTGCAAGTGCCTGAGCCCGCTTCATGAAGCGGTGCCGTTCCAGTACTGTAAAAGAAAGAGATAGGAAATAATGTTTCATACAGCAAGACATGCAACAGTTTTCTCTCTCAAAATTCTTCCACGTCATCATTGGTCCTTTCCCTTTGTGGCTCTGATTTCCAGCTAAACAAGACCTGTCCTTGCCACCATCATGTGGGTTCTGTCCAGATCATATTTTCCACTCTAGACTCCATCATTTTCCCTGTTTAACAAATAGGGCACTCACAAGTGCACTGTCCAGCTTTTCCCTTGCTAGTCTTTTGACCAMTCTTCTTGTCACTCTGTAATTTACCTCAGAGTGACTGCTAAAATTAAATCCCCATAGACAGTGTGGTCAAACTGGTGAACAACCAAAATTTCCTGYTCTCAACAGCAATGTCCAGTGTACCAGAAGAGCAAACTCTGTGGAAATTTTTCCACCACTGCTGACTCCAGACCCCTCTTAGTGGGGTCAGGCTCCAATTCCACTTCCCTTTTTACAGCATTTCTATTTCACCTTCTCTACACAGACAAGCTCACTATACTTGCCTTCAAAACCATAGTTCATTGCTGTTTCTTTTGGGGGAATACCTAAAAATATCTTACAGAAACTTACTTCTACCACAAATAATCAAAACTTAAGTATACAAGCAAGTAAATTCTGCAAGTCCCTGACCTAAAAAAGCCTGTTGTGTCTGTCATTACTGGGTGAGGCTTTTCAGCTACAGTGCCTTTACAAAATTTCTCTTTTATGGCTTTCCTGGAGTTTCAGAAGTGACACTTTTACTGCAGCCTCTTGTCTGGTCAGGCATGAACAGAACATTACAGTTCAGGAAACAGACGGGAACATAATTGCCTTTGAGACTTTTACCCCTCTGATAAAACTGGCTGATGAAATTAAAAGCTATTGGAGGGAAAGAGACAAGGCATAAACAGACAAGTTGACTGCATAAGATTTGCTTCTTTAAGAAACCAGGCTACAGCTAAGCTCCAATTAATTCTGTCCCTTGGGTTCATTGCAGCAGGCAGCATTTAGACTGCATGCTCTTTGGGACTGAGCTCTCCACTTCAGGTAGCACTCCAGTTACTAAACTTGTCCTCCTTCAGCTGTTTTGTTGGATTTATCCAGAGCAACACTTGGAGCAAAAGAGAGACTGACCATGCCTCTCAACACAGCCTTCCTTTCCTCCACAGTTCATGCAGCTCCACTTCATTCTCCACTGAAATCTCCCTCCCCGTCTGGCTCCAAACAGAGGGGACTACAAAGATGGAAACTTCAGGTGTTTTAATCCTAATAATCTAGTATCTTTAAAGCTGTGATCTGAGGTAGTAGCTTCCAAGRACTTTATGTCAAACTTGCTTCCTTTTTTTGTCCCAAGGATTTAATTCCAGTTTATGTTTCAAACTTAGAGGATGAGGGAAAGAAGACAAAGAATAAATAGAAGGGGAAGGCCTTATCTCTCCCTCTCCCATTCCTCTGGTTATTACCCTGACAATGTCCTAGAGCCTGCTGAGTACATACCCTGGGTTTTGACCTTGGTCTTTGCCAGAGGAGTAAGAAATCCAGCATCTGTAATCTGTAGCATTCTCCCTCCTAAGGTAGGAAAGCTGTCACTAGGACCAAAATCATCCTGTCCCTGTCATTTTCTGATCTCTCCCTACAGCTGAACAAATCCAGAATTACCCCTGGTCTTCCTTCTCTACCATCAGCCTTTCCTCCTTCCCCAGATACTTTGCCTTCCAGTTTGAATCCGATACATACTCTCGTTCCCCATCTGCAAAATTGAAGTTACAGAACTTTTTAAAGTGAACGTATTTATCCGAAGAAGGTCAAATTCATTCTAATTTCAAAACTTCTAGCTGCTTTGGCAGAATGTGCTGTTCTCCCCACTTACCCTCTATTGCAAAAATCAGTTCTTCACCTTTGACAGACTTTAACAGCTGTTGGGCCAATTACAAAAATAAAATATTTTCCAACTTAGTGAGACCCAAGTGCAAGTATATTCTATTTTTCCCTGATTCATTATTGAAAGAAGTCCACAGAAGAAAAGGAACTAATAGGAACWGAAGGAGGTCGTATGTATATTTACCCTGATGGGCTTTTCTCAGAGCTTTCCGTGGGGAATGTAATTGGCTTGCTCCTGGGGCATGTCTAATATTTCTGTACMTCAATCCTGAATTACTCAAACACTGCGCTTCTTTTATTGCTCGGTTCAAACTCATGTTAGTTAATGGCGTGATTCACAGCACCCAGSATTATCCTGCCTCACTGGCACCTGACTGTTCGGCAGATCCACGCTGTCCTCTAGTGGCCAACAAAGGGGAAAGAACCACCCAAACTCGCATTGTGATCCTACAGCGGGTGTGGATTTCTGCCYTCCCTTTAGCTCTGTGAAACTGCTATTCCTCAGCACTGTTTTTAAGATATCCTATGAATCTACCTTCTTGGGCTTTTTAAGGCCTCCAGTTCATCTCTTGGAGTGCAAAAAACTAAGTCAGAAACAGGATGAAGTGAAGGCGTATTAGAGGAGAGGAGAAGGCAAATGGATCCCTTTCAAAGTGGATAAAGAGAGCAGGCAGCTGGGATAGAAATTACAAACACAGAATCCAGCATCCAGTCAGGGAGACTGGATTTGCCTGTACCTCCTCTSACAAACAGGGAGAAATTTTGAGAATCCCTCCTCTTTAACAGAAGGCAGGAAATAACAGCAGGAGTCTGGAGTGAGCTATAACCTGCAGCACAGAAAAACAGAAAGGAGCTCACACAAACTCTGAACCTCTGTTTTGCTGAGAACTAGGAATTCTGGAGGTGTGAGTCTCTCATCTCCATCACCTCTCTCCCCCTTCACAGGAACTAATTTTCTGCCAAATTTCCATAGCTTCCTCAACACTACACATTTTATTTGACAACTTGTAAAGCCTCCAATGTTTTGTTTTGTTTATAGAAGTAAAAGGGATGTTCTGTTTGCTCTTTGCAAGGGCTAAGCAAATTAAGCTTAAATGTGAAACTTTCAGCTTACTAACACCCAACGTATACTAAACAGCTGTTTTAWAGGTAATGGTAAACCTGAAACAGAGCTCCTTGTTCATAAATCCTCTCCTTGTACCATCCAGGGAAGAATCTGGTGATTTCAATGATAAATAAACTTATTTGTTGTATTTTGCTACTGTCAGAATGTGTAAGCTTCAGGGGGACTAGTCTRCTTCTTGCTAACCAAGTTACAGTTACAGGAATGCAGAAGTTATATGAATTTACAGCCAAAATTGAAACAGCAGCCTTATTAAAAGAACAGGATCTGGCTGCAGAAACTTTACTACTGCTAAAAGCAAAGACAATGAAGTTTCTTTTGACCCTCAAAAATTCAGAATGCACTTGCAAGGCTGACCAGCAAGAGAGACAATCTTTCTTCACTTTCTTCTCCCCCAAAGAAAACCAAACATATCCTTTTCCTTGTAGAAGGAACAACTGTGAAGAAAATACACAAATAAAAAAAATCCAATTTTTACGTAATTCCTCTCAGACCAACATACTTGAAGGCAAGGCTAGTTTGGAGAGTAGAACCAGGGCAGYTGCTTGCCTTTCTCACATGCACAGGCGTATGAACCACAAGACAGGGAAGCAAAGTCCTGAGCTACTCAGCCAAGGGAACTGATTGTGCCCTGGATGGCACTAGAGAAGCTGGTAACAAGGTGTGAGTGAAGAGAAACTTCTGAAAGTAGGRCACAGAGGAGCAAGATAGATAACATAGATTTTAGATCCCCTCCTCTAATTTCAGATTAGCTGGTCGTGGAGGTCATACCAGCCAAATAAATGTCTCAGTTTCTATGGATGCTGAGCAGAACGGAGAAAGGGGAGGTCAGCAAGCTCCCAGCCAAGCTTTTGTCTTGACAGAAGCCATAAATAGAAGCACAGTTGTTTGAACCTCACCTTCCTGATTACAGCAGCACCGGTTTGGACAGCAGCCACACTGGATGTTGCAGCAGCAGTACTGGGGGCAGCACTGGCACCAGCATATCCCAATCAGCAGAAGGAGGAGGAGGCCACCAAGAATGATGAGGAGTACTGTGAGCCAGTCTGTGGGAAAAAAGGAGGGSGAAAAAGGATTGATCCTGATGYATYGGGCCATGGTAMGTAAMTGAGCACCTCTCCACTGCTGGAGGTGTCTTGGGGTAGGGAAGAGGAGAACAGGAGGAGATATCTTGGCACACAGACAACAAAGCACAGGTACTTACGGAGAACAATCAGCTTAACTTCTTTGTCAGCGTCACCTGAGGTATCTCCTGGTGCTTCCACAGTGCAGTAGTACATGCCATGGTCCCACCACATGACCTCACTGATGACAAGGTCTGCTCCTGTGGGAGAGGGACTGAGAGGTCAGTGGATCATTTGGGACTGACAGATATCGCTTTCAGGCTCCACCTGAAAAAGGCCCTCCACCTGCAGGTGACACACCTGCAGTAAGTAGTAAGTAAGTAAGTAAGTACTGCATCTCCCCTCTTCTCAAGCATAGCCATCACCTTCAAACAATTCCACTGGAATCCACTGATCCTATTAAAAGCATTCACTGCTWTTAATTTTCTGTGCTGCTGGAAGCACACCCTGCTGCTTTTGGAGCACAGATCTGTTAGGTCCTGTTAGGTCAGCCATCCCAAGAGCTCTTCTGGCAGGAGCAATAGCTATTGCTCCAYGGACAGCAGGGATAATATAATATACCTGGGCAATTATGCACTATTTAGAAGAATGAACTGTTTTCTAGCCTCTGAGCTCCTCATCTTTTGTGCTCTTCAGCAAAACTCTCAGGCATCCTTAGCTCAGCCTTAGGTTGTAGTGCCTCCAACACCCTCAGGCCAGCTGGGAACAGGGCCCTTCACTCCTCTTACTTTTTTGCCACATGAAATAAGTAAGCAACAGATTTTATTAGCAATGTTTATGCTTCTCTTCACTTAGCAGACCCAGATACTGGTTAGCTCCTGAGCTCTAGGAGGTCACTCACGGTTCTGAATGGTGATCTTTCGCTGCTGGTAGTCAACGCCCAGCACGGGGTCCTTCTGCCCGAATTTCTGGATGACAATGCGCACCTTCCGCTGGCTGTCATTGCAGTCGTCAGAGGGGTCCTGGCCAAGGGCTAAACCAGCCTGGTATGCTACAAACACAYATCATCAGAGATGCCAAAAGTTATTTCAAAAGGTCAATTTCTATCCTCCTGTGAGCAGTAGATAAATTCTTAAGTATATGTGTGCAATTGCTTTGGTTTAGCAATACAAAGCATGGCTWCAAACCAGTAAGTTGCTTTGGAGTACTCAAAATCAAACAGAGGTAGAGCCACAGGAATGGCAGAGATTTTGAGAATGCAGGGGCTGSAGAGGAGATGCCTCCTGTATTCCCAACAGAAAGAATAACAGTAGAAAGAACCTAATGGCAGTAGGCTGGAAAGCAGCTCCCAGGATGAAGCTGAAAGAAGAATAGTCATAAACCACCCAGGAGTACTAGAACTAAAACAAAAGGGTATTTATTTACCAAACAAAATCTCCAGACATACATGAACTGCAGTATGGACTATCTCCCTTTCCCTGCTGTATCCCATTACATGTTGTGGAACTCATAAAGACAGAAAATAATCCGTCATCTGATTCCAGCTAAGGATTAAGTGTAAAGACATCCAACAGAATTAATGGAGGACTAAAGGCAATTGGGGAGACAGCTGATTCAGTCAGCATTTTCTGTAAAGGGCTTGCAGTGAAGAGAGATGAGGACAAAGCCTGTCAAAGGCTCTTCCACTGCTGTACCTAAATGGAGCACAAGGTCCCTGTTAGGGACTATTAGCATGAGCCTAGGCTAAAAGCACTCACATTATGCTGAGATCAGCAGAGCCAGGGACTCACCTGCTTGGGGACTAGGCTGTAGAGCACTTGGTAATGTGCCTACMCAACCCATCTAGACTGCATAAAGGAGAGTTTGGGCACCAAGGCACCCACTGTGAGCCCAGTTCTAAGTGTACAGTCAAGCCATGGCTGCCCACTTAAACCCACTGCAGGGTTTAAAAARAATAGAGCAGAATAGTTGAGTTGGAAGGGACCTACAAAGGTCGTTAKCCTGATCACTTTAAGGACTGACCAGAACAAAAAATACCTTATTAAGGGCACTGTCCAAATGCCTCTTAAAAACCAACAGGTTTGGGGCATTGACCACCTGTGTAACAAGCCTGTTCCAGTGCTTGACCACCCTCCCAAAGATAAGCTCACTCGCATCCAGTCTTCCTTCCATCCAGAACTTCCTCTGAYGTAGTTCTGAGCCATTCCCACACATCCTATCACTGGATACCAGGGAGAAGAGATCAGCACCTCCCTTTTCACTTCCTCTTCTCAAGAAGCTGTAGARAGCAATGAGGTCACTCCTCAGTCTCCTTTTTTTCTGAACTGGACAAGCGCAAAGTAGCTGCTCCTCACAGGCTGTGCCTTCCAGCCCTTTCATCAGCTTTGTTCCCCTTCTCTGGATGCATTCAAGTACTTTAATATCCTCAAATCCAGGGACTCAGCACCGCATACTAAACTCCAGATGAGGCTACACCAACACTAAACATAGTGGGCTCATCACCTGTTTTGACCAAGCAGTTATACTGGGTTTGGTGCATCCTAGCATGCAGTTCACATGCCATATTAAACAGCCCTGAATTAGGGYTGCCCGCACCAGAATGTCTGCACATGAAGTGCTCCCACAACTACTAAATGTTACTACCTAGATTTCTTCATGCCCTCCAAAATGCTTATGTTCCTTCTGCTTCTTAAAATCAGTGACATCTGGTCACAGCTGGYATCTAGCTCCAACCACAGGGTCCCCCATGGAATCCTAAAGCCCACTTGTCACGGGGCCCTTGCTTTCAAACAYGCTGAAGCATAAGATGGGGCTGCCAAAATTGATTTGGTGCTCTGCAATCTGAGTGGATGATAAGGAGGACAAAAGAGCTGCTTTGGCTGGGATTTCTCCAATCTTGTATTCTAAGGCCTTGACTATTCAAAGATGTGACCTGTTCTTCCTTGGAGCACAGGGAAATGCTACCACCTGGTTTGTGGGTAGGAGGGGGTCATAAGCCAGGACTACCCAGAGAGTCTACTTTCCCTTTCCTTCCCATCTGAAGGGGGATTCCCTGGAAGGTGAGCCTGACACTTACAGACTGAGTAGTAGTCAAAAATGGGGTCCTTGCAGAAGGATTTGTAGCGCCAGGTCACCACCACGTCCTGCAGCTGCGCTGAGGTGCTGTAGTCACACTTGAGGATGACAGTGGCAAATAAGGTGGTGTAACGCTCAACATCCTGCACTGTCACCAGGAGGGAGAGGCAACCTGCAAACAAGAACACAGGAGGCCATGAGCCCACAGACTCATATCACACCATCTGCACCGCACCGATGGTCCAAGTACATCTCCTTTGCCCCAGGACTGGCACCTATGGACTTCTCAGTCCCGCCAGCGAATTTCATCCAGGGTTACAAACCTGGGTTAGAACACGAGTCCCATCTTTCCCTGACAGATGGCCACTTCATTGGCCCACCTTATGGACTGAATTATTTTCACCAAAGCAACTAGGAGTAGCCATTACGCAGTGTATCACTCTGTGTTCTCCTTCTACATGGTCAAAACTCCCCCTCCAATTTGTTGGGTGCAGAAGCACACAGGATGGGACTGCCTTGGCTTTTAATCCTAACCAGGGAAGTTCTGCAGCACCACATGTTCATATAAACACCAAGTGAATTTTATCAAGGTCTTGCTAAGGCACTCATCAGAATGYTATCTAGTAGTGACCAGGATTAGGACAACAGAACTTTCAGGCTGTAACATTGTAATTACACTTAATTGTTAATCACCACTTCAGAACAGCACACACCAATTACCCCCTTTTTTCCTTTTTAATTAAGTTGTCATTATGTATTTTAGTACTCATCCTAACAATCTCCACAGCACTTTCTATCCAAACAGCAGCCCACACTCAGGGAGGTTTTACAAAGTTTCTTGTAAGTTATGCTGTAGTTTAGCCTTACTCCAGAAACATCTCTATCTTATTTAAACTTTGATAATRCAGTAAGTTGTGCCTGCCATTAACAATAGCAAAGTTATCACCAGTTGCCTTTGATAAGGGAATACAAACACTAGTGGGGCAAGTGTGGGATGCCCTGTTTGGAATATGAGCCAAAGAACCAGGCAAGGATTGCAGTCCTGTGCTAGTTGTTTCTTAAGTAGGGAGCATGACAGCAGGAAAGGCAGGAAGGAAAGGGGGAGGCTTATAAGGTACCAGTAGAACAGGTCTCCATGAACCAATACTCAGTTTTTATCATATATTCAAAGATTTTCCCTCTACTCCATGTTTTCAGGATGGAGCAAGAGAACAAGTCAATACTATCGTGTAGTAACATCTGGACCACAACTGCAAACATCATTCTTTGTCAAGCATCATTCASTATCCTCTTAGGCTGCACCTTCACATAGCATTCCAGGCAAATATGAGCTCATGCAGTTTCCATTGTGGAAAAGATGCTGCAGAGGTGCAATGCTGCCTCAACGAGTCATCCTCGGGTATTGCCAATGCAGTACTTGCACATTTTTTGGTTTGGAATGGGACTCCATATCAGCCAAGTGAAAGCATAGGCACAGTGAACTCATTTGCTTTAAGAACACACACAAATATAAAGAGAACCAGGGCAAACCCTGAATCCAAGGCTTTTCTGAAAAATAAGATATATGCACGTGAACACAGAAATACCAGCAGCTGTGAAAACCTCTAGATAAAACAAGTTTTTACAATGCTGTAGCAAGATCCAGAGCACTGACAGAAAGTTACAGTTGCTCTTATTTAAAAGCACTGTAGTTCAACATATCTTGTTTCATTCATTGTGAAATAGCTGACTCTGGGATGTTAATGCAGAAAATCAGAAGAAACCGATTCAAACTCTCAAGATTGGCAAAACCTTGATCTCAGTGTCAATTAAATGAAACCCCATATGAATTCTGACTTGTCAAGGCTCATGGGAACAGAATATTTTCCATGGGTTTTCTACAATAGCATCTCTCTGGCAGGAATAAAACATTCAAAATCATTATGTGCTTTTCACTATCAAAACCCAYATCTCTTCATGGAAGGGTTGCTTTCTCATTACCTCTGTTCTGCAAAACAGCCAGAGTTGAAAGCTAAGTCCCTTGCTTTCTCAAGAAGTTGAAAACCTACTGTTCCCCCCAGAGAACAGTCAGATGTYACTGCATATCCAATGTTTCTTATTAACCTCCTCCAACAAACTGAAAAGGTATAAAATAAAGGTTGGTTCCTAAACTTTCAACACATTACCATAGGATGCTGTCTTTCTTATCCTGGTTGGAAAGAGAAAATATGGGCACTACCAACCTAGTAAGTTTTGGCTACATTTATGGCTTAGCAGTGAAGATATGAATCTTTGGAGCCAGTGTAGCCAAATTTTAGCCAGAGCATCACCCAGAAAGGCGGCTGTCAAGCAAGACAATAAACAAGCATACCCTCCACACTTATTTGCTTCCTTCACTGGCTGTCTATGAAAAACCATGCCAGCCAAGACCCAGGCATCCAAGAAGCAAAATGATCACTTTATTTCCAAGAGGAGCTTAGAAGCTGTCGGGCAACCCGCAAAGCTTGGCAGAAGAGAACTCTGCTGCCTGAAGGCCGCCCGTGGGCACGGAGATCAAGCTACCCACACAAGCAGGTGCCCAGCAGGTGTGGAAACACTGCAGCTACCCCGGACCCGCAAAGAGGAAAAGATGGGATGGGGGAGATTGAGAGAGGCCAGAAGGGATCCCCGCCGTCTCCGTGCCCAGCCCAGGTCCCAGCCGAGCTGGCCGCATGCGACCGATACCGGCGGCTGCCAGGAAGCAGGAGGCCACTTCCTCCTGGGAGAGAGGTCAGCCGCACCTTTGGGGATCGAAACTCGTCTCCTCATGGCTTCGTAGCGAGCTCGGGAGAGCCCCGCGCTTCCGCCGGGCGGGGAAGGGCACCGAGGGCGGAACAGCACCCGCCGGGACCGGGCCGCCCCTTCCCCTCACGGCGCTGCCCCGASCCCGCACCACCCTAACCCCGGGCGAAACCCGAGGGCTCCTCCCGAGTCCCGGCCCTTGCACCGCGGGGGTGTCCCGGAGCAGGGCGGGCCGAGGGCCCGGAGGGRRCCGGGAGCCCCGGGCWGCACTCACCGGCCGGCAGCCAGGCCAGCAGCAGCGCCCACCGGCAGAGCCCGCGCGGGACCATGGCGCACTCTCCTCCTCCTCCTCCTCCTCCTCCTCCTCCTCCTCCGCCCGGGGACGTCGCGCCCACTGTCCCTCCCCTTCCGTGGCACCTGTCCCTGGGCCGGGCGCTGCCGCCGGCTGCAGTCCCCTCCCTCCGCACCTGCACGGAGCTATTTTGCCTGCACCGAAACGCCAGGCAAAATGCCAGCCGCCAGCTTCAGAAACTGCTTTAAGTATATCATCTATGCAAAATGAAAAATATATATTTCAGAACATATGTTTATTATAGCAATATAAAATTTATAAATATATATATATATATATGTCCTGAGCACACAGGTGTATGGGAAGKTACGGTCACAGAAACGAAGTTTCGCCCGAGCTGCGCGCCTCAAGCGAGGGGCGCACGGGAGCGCACTCTTCGTCCTGCGGGCGGGAAGATCGTCTGGGAGATTCTGAGAATCACAGAATCGGTGAGGTTGGAAAAGACCTKCGAAGATCATCGAGTCCAGCTGTAAACGAACACTGCCATAGCAACTAGACCAGGCTATTGAGTGCCASCTCCACTCTGTCCTTAAAYACCTCCGGGGACTCCACCAACTSCCTCGGCAGYACGTTCCAATATCTAATCMTCCTTTCCGCGAAGAAATTCTTTCTAATATCCAACCTGAACCTTCGCTGGTGCAGCTCAAAACTACGTCCTCTCGTCCTGGATCTAATTAAATTTTCCCGCTGTGTTCTGAAAAGGCCGCATTAGTGGCCAAAACAGAGCTTACTTTAAAGAAAAAAACCCAAACAACCCAAAGTAAAACACCCCCCAGCCCGGTGGCGGCGCGGACCCGCCCGCTGGCCGCGCTCCCGGGGCGCTCCGACGACGCTGCGGTTGCCTGGAAACGGGACCGCGGCGGCGG